AAGGATTGGCGCCGGCAGCTGGTGTTTTAGGAGGGCAGGCGTTGCTCACGCAATCTGATACTGACCCAAAGCCCTGCACTTTTATACTAGAATGTGAGATTGGGCAACGCGTACCCTCCTATCACCATACTCTCTCAATACACAAGCGGCTGGCGCTGATCGATTTTCGTATGCTGTCACATTCGCCTCCCTAGCATTGGAGCGCCGTTGCAATTGTGGCGCGGCGATACGTATCATCGCGAAGTTTGAACGCTGCTCAATCAATAAGCCGCGTTAGAACACAGCACGTTGTGTCAGTGAGTTGGAGACGAGCCTCTGCGCGGTTTCGCCCTGCTAAAGAATGGCACCCTCTGAGGCCATAACCCCTCGCACGGTTCGCCGCACGAGGGGTTATGGATAATTGCTCTGACTGCTTTTCGTAGATGCCACGCCACGTCAGAAAGATGACATCAAAATACAAATGATGCAAGTCGTTTAGTTCCAACACTCACTTTTTGGTTTTCGGTGATGTTCACATTGCTTGTACGGAGCTGCTGGGTCCAAAAGTATATGTCGTATACAGAACTTGTATCCAAGGATAGCTCTTTGCTTGCACTGAAAAAGCACCTTCACCTGTTTCGTCGGTCTTTTAATTATTTTACAGCAATGGAAAATCTCATGAAAATAGTGTTATACCGTAGCAAATCTGAGTAAACATAGTATTATCTCTGGGCCTGCTAAATGTTCAAGAATGGTGGGAGACTCCAAGCACTTTTCGAAACCCCTGTGCCTTTTGGAATAGACTTTGGGATCTATTATTGCTAGACTTTCACAATTTTTCTAGACGGTAATATAGTCTTATTCGCTGTGGCGTGCCAGGGATGATTTGGCACGGCGCCACCATTTCCATCAATTGTTGCCGCTTTCCTGTCTTTAACAATTGATATACAACGGACTGGCACCGCGCCCAACTCAGCCTCCTCCGAGACGCCTCAGCATCCGCAGCAAACAAGACCGTGGTGCTGTCCACAATAAGTGATGATGGTGCTGGAGAAGAATCTAAGTGAACTTCTACCACTGAAAAACTCACCACAATTCCTCTCCCAGAGGTGTCCACAAACTGG